TCATCAACTATGACCTTCTGGGAATGAAAGGGTTAATCTGAGCTTCCAGGATGATCCATACGAAAAGTGTGTACTTGGAAATATGTTGGGAAGTAAAAGTGGCCAGCTTGATATTGACCACAACACCAATCAAGTGTTACATAGACTGTAAAAGTATAGGGGTGAGCACCATATGACGTACCTCATTGTCCTGTTGGGACATTATGTATCACGTAAAGCTCACAGCCTCCTTTCTTTTCTATTCTGTGCAATCCTTTTGATATCGTGGATGGAATGCTGTCCAGTGTCTTTGGCCTCTTTCATTAGCCTTCGTTTTAGGATTTCCTTTGGATGCCATTGCTTCCTCAAACTCTTTACGGTTTTAGTACCTGTTTGTCCCTGTGTGGGTTCTGGTGGCTCCATTGTGGGGAAAACAAGAATAGACCCACAGCCTCCCCAGCAAGCATGTTGTAGGAGTTGACTATTTGGGGGCATCCTTCAGAGTCGAGTACATTGCCTGGAAGGCACGGAACCAACAGTCTGCATACAAATAAGCCAGATCTGTGAAACGGATGTGTATGCAACACTCACCTTCTGAAACAAGACTAAAATCTGGAGGGGTTAAGTACAAGGACTTTCTACGGGAATTTACAGCCTGTAAATTCAAAGTGGAAGAAGATAAAGAAGAAGAAGAAATGCCTTTTTGGTGATTCTCTTGATGTTTCTTCTCAGGATGTGTCCAGTACAGCACTGTCTACTTTGTCTTATAACTGGTTGTTTATCTACTATTGATGCGGTTATTTTACATGCAGTGTCTGTTAACTGTTGCCAGACTTAGGTGTTAGGAAGTAATTGTTGAGTTGCCATACTTAGGTGTTAGGAAGTAATTGTTGAGTTGCCAGACTTAGGTGTTAGGAAGTAATTGTTGAGTTGCCAGCAGATGGGTGATCACTGTGCTAAGCTGTGGTAAAAAAAAACTGGCCAGTTTACTCATACAAGTGACTGGCCAGGTGGTTCAAAAAGGCTGGGCTCCCATACCAGAGACCCGGGTTTGAATTTCGGTAAGGTCATGGATTTTCTTCCGGGGGGAAACAAACAATCCTAACATGCAAAGTTCTTGACAATAGCAATTACCGTGTGGCCCTAAATCCTCGGGCTCCACCCCCCCCCCCCCACCATCCCCCCGCCTGAACCACAAAAGTGATAAATACAGGCAGTAGGTAGTTTTTGGCCTATTTACATCAAGCTTTTCTGAGCAGAAAATTTAAACAAACAGAGAAAGGGAGATAACTGTCTGTGATGACTATAGATTAGTTATTAGTTGTTAAAAAGTGCACACTTGTTTTTGTAGATTAGGCTATTGGAAATTGAAACAATGGAACATGCAAATAACATATTCATTTCACTGAAGGAATTAAGAACGGTTCAAAAGAAACTTAAAAAAAAATGTAATGAAATCAGAGTTGGTTGGCACCTTTCCAGATAATAGTGTAATATTGTGCTATGGGGAGGCAAGGCAATCAGGCCATGGATGTGGTGAGTGTGACTAACAAGACGCATCCACTTTAAGAAAACATCCAGGGATGAAGTTCTTTCATAACACAAAGCCTGAGTAGTATTATAGAAACCATGTGTTGTGCATGCATCATGATCCCTCGCTCAGCCAAGTTTGACTCCTCTGTTGTGTGCTTGTTTCCTACAACAAGTTGACTCCTCTGTTGTGTGCTTGTTCCATACAACAAGTTTGACTCCTCTCTGTTGTGTGCTTACAACAAGTTTGACTCCTAGTACAAGCTTTGAGTGTTTGTTGTGTGCTTGTTCCCTACAACAAGTTTGACTTCTCTGTTGTGTGCTTGTTCCATACAACAAGTTGTTGACAACAAGTTTGACTCTCTGTTGTGTGCTTGTTCTTGTTCTTGTTCAACAAGTTTGACTCCTCTCTGTTGTGTTCCCTACTTGTTCCATACAACAAGTTTGATTTCTCTGTTGTGTGCTTGTTCCCTACAACAAGTTTGATTTCTCTGTTGTGTGTTTGTTCCATACAACACAAGTTTGATGCTTGTTTCCTACAACACGTTTGACTCCTCTGTGTGTGCTTGTTCCCATACAACAAGTTTGATTTCTCTGTTGTGTGCTTGTTCCATACAACAAGTTTGATTTCTCTGTTGTGTGCTTGTTCCATACAACAAGTTTGATTTCTCTGTTGTGTGCTTGTTCCATACAACACGTTTGATTTCTCTGTTGTGTGCTTGTTCCCTACAACAAGTTTGATTTCTCTGTTGTGTGCTTGTTCCATACAACAAGTTTGAATTCTCTGTTGTGTGCTTGTTCCCTACAACAAGTTTGACTCCTCTGTTGTGTGCTTGTTCCCTACAACAAGTTTGACTCCTCTGTTGTGTGCTTGTTCCCTACAACAAGTTTGATTCCTCTGTTGTGTGCTTGTTCCCTACAACAGGTCTGCGTGGTGCCGTGGCCTTTGCCCTGAGCTTACATCTGGAGTTTGCCGAGGAGAAGCATTACATCCTGGTCACCACCACCCTCATCATGGTTCTTTTTACTACTGTCTTTCTAGGCGGAGCCACCATGCCACTTCTCAAGGTCAGTACAACAGGCAAATCTCTGTGATATTTATTAGAATTGCAAAAGGTCCTTTTACACTCCAGTAGCGCACCCGGTATATGAGGCTAGATCAAAATTTTTAGATACCAAACAGCCATTGATGGTCAACATCTCGCCGGTCATCTTTACTTCCTAAGACTTTACCTGGTACCTATTTAGGACTGGGTCAACTTGGTGGTCGTGTCTGAAAAAAAAAATAATCTAGGTCCATGAGGATTTGAACACATGACCTTCAGATCTGCAAGCGAGTCCCTACACCATGGCATCTTCCTGATAGAATCATGAGATGATCTTTATCATGTGCCTTGCCAAAGATGTATGCACTCAGAAATGTGCACATATACACACACACGTGCATATGAGCATATGCACAGATGCATATGAGCATGCACACAGACACACAGCATACACACACGACATACACATAGACGCAACTGACATACACTTAGACACACATGAGTGTATATATAGAGATACACATCAGCGTACACATACATACAGAGGTTTGTTCTGCTGAACTATAGTTACTGTAATGTCACAAAAAGACGAAAGCCAAAACATTCATAGTAATATATCGTCACACTCCCTACCACTGGACCACAAGTCACCTAGATCGGCGGTTTACTACCGTTGTGACAGAATACAAAGGGATAGTCATAGATTTTATTGTTGTATTTAGCTGTAATCTTAAGTTGACATCATCTGTGTTTTTTTTGTTTTTTTACATCTTTTTCTTCAGCATTCTGAGCCCTTGAGGTTCATTGCTGCAGACATCACCCTCCTCCATTCATGTCTCTGGTTGGCCTTCTTTGTCCCATTTGGAAACACCAACACCAAGTGTTTGTAGGCCTGTCTGGATATTACCTCTCCATCATCTTGTTGGTCTGCCTCAAGGTCTACAACCATTCAGCTTCCTTCTATCATCTGACATTCTCTCAACATGCTTCGGCAATCGTTTTTTAATAGTCAAGTTTATTTCTGTTAACGTTTTTTCCTGCACTATGGCAGTCTATCGGATTAACATCTCAAGGAAGAGAATCAGACCGGTTAAAAGTTAGCGGCATATCCTTTACAAGGCGTTGCAGAACCAACCCCAGCATTTTTGTGTGTGTGTGTGTGGCTGTTCTTTGTCTGGACCAGTATCTGTATCGACTGCAATATGACAAAGAAGGTGGAGATATATTGGCCACACATTGAGACAAAATTACAAAACAAGTACCAAAATGGGAATAAAGTGGTCTTAGAAAAAGAGGACTACAGTTTTCAAAAGGTATCTTGACAGTTTTCAAAAAGTATCTTGACAGTTTTTAAAAGGTATCTTGACAGTTTTCAAAAGGTATCTTGACAGTTTTCAAAAGGTATCTTGACAGTTTTCAAAAGGGATCTTGACAGTTTTCAAAAGGTATCTTGACAGTTTTCAAAAGGTATTTTGACAGTTTTCAAAAGGTATCTTGACAGTTTTCAAAAGGTATCTTGACAGTTTTCATAAGGTATCTTGACAGTTTTTTCCCTTGTATGGGTGACTATATGGAGTTGCTGTGGTGTAGTGGCTAGACCCTCGCCTGCAGATTGGAAGGGCATGGGGTCAGGTCCCGATGGAGCATGACTTTTTTAAAATAAAGACTTTGGCTTCCAGATTGACCCAGCCTTGAGTGTGTACCAGGAGCAATCCTAGGAAGTAAAGGCAGCCGCCATGATGCTGACTACATCACCCACAAAGTGCCAGTTGGTCTGTTAAATATAGGTCTAGCCGTATATGCCCAATACGCCTAAAGGTGTGGAAAAGGGACTTTACTTTTATGGGTTACTATTTCACAGATTGTACAGTGTCATTTTTTTTATTTCAAAAACTACATTATTTAATTGCATTTTGACAAATGCATGTGCACATATGTGGATGTGCACATATACGCGTACATGTATGGGTGTGTGTGTTTGTTTTTCTGAATGAATTCCATCATAGATACTCATTTGGGGCACTTTTTTTGGAGAGCTTTTGAAAATAAAGTTCTTCTTCTTCTTCTTCTTCTTCACTTCCTCTTTTACCGCTGTGGGTGTCGAGGGAGATATAAGGTTCTGTTTCTAGCTCTTCTGGCCGTCTCGACCATAGGCACATCCTTCAAAATAAAGTTCAATCAGTTGTTTATCTTATACCATTTATAATATTTTTTCGGCATGTGCCTGCCTTATCTACCACTGACTTTTCAGTGATAGCTGTGTTCTTCATCTCTCTTCTCATTACCTAGATTTAAAAAGAATAACTACGAAATATTGCTGGTTGTTAATCAATAAACTAAAGAAACATGTCTCTTTATACTCAGTTCTTACAGTCCGCTGACAAGAAGCACCCAAAGAAGAAAAAGAGGCTGGATGGGGAAGTGTCTATGAGTAAAACAAAAGAAATGGTAAAATTTTCATTTTCAGTATAAAATAAATGGTTAGTTTTCATTTCCAATAAAAAAGAAATGTTACAATTTCTATTATCAGTCATATGTGACTAGCTAAACTTCATATATGTCAGTCGGCCAATATAATATCTGGTAGGTAGGTAAGTTGTACCCCACCAGGACATCACACAAGCGATAAACACACAAGCCATTGCCGCAGCTGGGATCGAACCCGCATCCGCAGAAGCGAAGTGTTCGCATCGACTTAGCCACAGACCGACAGGTGACACAAAGTGACACCATGTGGATGAGGATCACCCGTGGAAAGGTCCCGGTAACTCCGTTCAACCGTTAGGCCAAATTAAAGGCCCGACTTTATTTAGGGCAAAGCCAGGGTGGGGCTTCAAAACAACTAAAAATTGCATCCCCCATGGAGACGACCTGTGTTAGCGAATATCATCTGTAAATATTTTTGAAACTAACTGTTGAAGGGCACAAATGAAACAGGAAACTAGAATGTTGAATATGTCTAGAATATTGTCTGAGTTAAAACACTTTTCTTCTTCATGTTCACCGGTTGTAAACTCGGGCAGAAAATTCTGGTTGTTGATCAACTTCTGGACTTGTTCCAGAACCTGAGTGTTGCATGCAAGTCCGTTTTACAGGTCTGACTTATTTGTAGACAGACTGTTGGTTCCTTGCCTCTCAGACAGATGCACTCTGACTTTGAAGGAAACCCCCGGCTAGTCAACTCTTATGACATGCTTGTTGGGGAGGCAGTGGGTCTGTTCTTGTTTTCCCCACCCACGGGGCTCCGAAACCCACACAGGGAAGATTAAACTAATGGGGTGCTGGAATATTGAAGAATATTAACATTTTCATGGAACTTAGAATGTTGAGATATGTACAAATGTAGGTTGTTGTAGAATATTAAAGGTTATGGATGAGTGCAATTTTGACTTTCCCTAAAATGATGGACAGTACCAGTTGATGAATAATGGAATGTTCAATGGGACTGGAATGTTTTAAATGCCTAGAATGTTGTATAATATGAGAATGCTAATAAATTTTAGAATGTTGGAAAAAATTGTAACATTAAAAAACACCTAGGAAAAGATCAAGCCAAAAAACACCTGATAGTTGGTAGGCAAGCTTTCAACTTTAGCACAGCTTGGTCACCACATAACGGCTCCTTTCCTATGCCTGTGAAAGTCACAGGAAATAACCCCTCACTGTCTCGTTGAAAAGCTAGAGAACAAAAGGTTTTGTATTTTCATTCATTCATTGTCCTTTTAGGCCATTACATGCCTCATAGGGCTCTGAAAGCATGCTGAGAAAGGTGAAGACAGGGATGCTTCGAGCAGAGTGGCAAGCTTCACTGGAAAGGTCACGGGTAGTGAGCATACTTTGAATCTTTTCTCCAGGCCATGCGGGCGTTTCGGGTAATGAACAGGTAGACAGATTGGCTGGATCAGCAGCACTGGGTGGTGAATTGATACATGACAAGGCAGATGTGGTCAAGGCTCTTTGGGAACAAGCAACGGAATCAGTAGAGAAAGAAGATTATTATAGCCTGGAGAGAATGAGGCACCTGGGTGTAACCGGAGGGTCTGGCCGGCTCACATTTAACCAGATTGTGACCGGCATGATTAGTATTTGAACTCTGCTCTAACTGCTGAAGATGAGGACGGAGCATGTATGGAAATGCCCCGAGTGCTGTGTTGTTGATTCTTGACTCAACTCAACTCATAGGGTTCACACTCTATTTATCTATTCTGTTCAATATTGTGCAGTCACTTCAGTGTCGTGGATGGAATCCAGTCCTGCACCGTTGGCCTCTCTCGTCATCCTTTACTCTAGGGTTTCTCGTTTCTCTTGGGTGTTCTCATTTTCTAAGTCATTCTATATCCCATTTCAGTGCCTGTTTGGTTATTCTTTTCTAATTTCTTCAGGATGTGTCCAGTATAACGCCATCTTCTCAGTCTTATAACTATTGTTACAAGTGGTTGCCTAGACCTTTCGCGTATTTCTTCGCCCCTCTTGAATTTATCCCATTTTATTGTCATCCTTTTCTTCAAGCATTTGTTTTCAAATGCGTTTTCACTTTCATCCATGTCTTTAATGCTTCTCTAACTTTCAATGGCATATAACTAAATCGAAATAAAATTAAAATTGAAAATAGGCAGCTTGGTTCTAAAACTAAACAATTTTGGTTCCGTATTTTATTCAGGCTTTTAAAAGCTACTGATGCCTTGTCAGTGCTGGTCATAAATGGTTTCTTTGTGTTTCTTGACTATCAAGATTACTATCAAAGTAGGTCTGTTGTTCTATTAATTTAAAGCACTCTACCAGCCCAAACAGAACACATGCCATTTTCAAAATAGCAGGACACAAACCACTGCAGCCACAGATGAAAAGCATTCTACATGAAAACCATAAATGGAAACCTCAATAGTGTGATTGAAATTGCAGTAACCATCCCATTGTCTTATAACCTGTCAGTATTGTTGTTAAGCACATTTCATTGCAGCCCATATGAATTTATATAGGTTTCACTCCTTCACTGATTAAAAAAAAAAAATTTATAACAGAACAATGCTGCTTCTCTTTGGTGCATGTCAAAAGTGGGGTGGCCATCTTTAAACTGTCATTATGACATCATCATGTACTGTCATGTCATGTGCTTAACACTCTTGACATGCTTAACAACAACATTGACAAGTTACAAGACAATGGCAGGGTCTTTGTAATTTCTATAACACTATTTAGGTTTTCATTTGAAACCCCCTCACATACAGCTCACAGTGCTACACCATGCACTTAATGAACATTGTGGCTAGAAAACCTTCATCGGCACACAGTAACATAGACAGTGACACTTATTGTTGAAATATCCTTTCATGCTTGAGAAATATCTAGTATGTTCAATATATGAGACAATGGGAGGAAAATTTGAATGTTAAATGAAATTATGATATTGAATATTATTATAATAAAATAAAATAAGTCCTCACAGTGTGCATGTCAGACAGGACCACACAAAACACCTGAGCAAGGCTGCAGAGCGTGCTCACTATGCTTACAACTATAAAGGGAAACCTGGCCTCAAGATCAAAGTGGGCAGAACGAGCTATAGAGAATCAGGACGGACCTGCAGGCGACGTGCTAATTCATAAAGGCAGCCCACCTGACGATCTCACCTAAGCATACAAAACCAAATGCAAAAAGGATAAAGAAGAATGTTGTTATCCCCATAAGGATTTTGGGGGCTCTGTTTTGGAGAACAAAGAATAGACCCACTGTTTTCCCTAACAAGCACAACGCAAAAGACGACTAATTAGGGGATTTTCCTTTAAAGTTGGAGTGTATCTACCTGAGAGCTGAAGAACCAGCAGTCACCATAAGAATATGCCAGATCTGTTAAACCTCTGTGCACTCAAAACTCAGTTTCTGGAACAAGACCAAAGTCCAGAAGTTGATGAGTAACCAGAACTTTCTGCCGGAGTGTACAGCCCGTGAACACAAAGAAGAAGAAAGCGTTGATCTGCATACAGCATCATAGACAATCAAACTTGCTGTTGAATTATCTCTTTATGCTTGATAAGCATCTGGTGGGTTGAATGTGACTTGAGTATTATGTGAGAATTTAGGGGTTTCATTTACTGTCTCTAGGGTGATGCCATTGACTCGGAACATCTGTCGGAAATGACAGAAGATGACGAGACGTATGTGATCAAATCTCACATGACAGGTTTCACCAAGCTAGATGCTCGTTACCTGATTCCTTTCTTCACCAAGAGATTCACCCAGAAGGTAAATTCAGCTGTCTCTTGTGTCGATGTCTGGTGTCTATCTCTATTGCTGTATCTTGTGTCTGAAGTCTGGTGTTTGTCTCTTATTTCTGTATCTTGTGTCTGAAGTCTGGTGTCTGTCTCTTATTTCTGTATCTTGTGTCTGAAGTTTGGTGTCTATCTCCTATTTCTGTATCTTGTGTCTGAAGTCTGGTGTCTGTCTCTTGTGTCTGTCTCTTATTTCTGTCTCTTGTGTCTGTATATTGTGTCTGCCTCTTGTGTGTCTCCTATGTCTGGTGTCTATCTCTTATTTCTGTATCTTGTGTCTGTATCTTGATTCTGTATTTTGTGTCTGTCTTTTATATCTAAAGTCTGGTGTCTATCTCTTATTTCTGTATCTTGTGTGTCTGTATCTTGATTCTGTATCTTGTGTCTGTCTTTTATATCTAAAGTCTGGTGTCTATCTCTTATTTCTGTATCTTGTGTCTGTATCTTGATTTTGTCTCTCCGTGTGGGCTCCGGGGCTTCATTTTGGGGGAAGGAAAAGAACAGACCCACTACACTGCTAACATTCATGTCATCAAAGTCAACTGACGGCATGTTTCCCTCGTAGCGGGAGTGCCTCTGTTTGAGGAACCAGAAGTCTGCATACAGATACGCCAGATCTGTAAAATGGATGTGCACAAAAAACTCAAATTCTGAAACAAGACTAAAATCAAGAAGTGGATCAAAAGTCATAACTTTCCACGACAGTTTAGAGATGGTGAGCGCTAAGAAGAAAAAGAAGACAGAAGGCAAGTGCAATAATTTGAGCATTTCAACAGAATTTGTCACTCACTGCAATCACCACAGCATTCAGCACATCCACCACCCTCCTGGGAAATGCATGCAAAATATTATAGATATTTACAGTTAGAGTGGCCAGTTGGTTACCCTCTGTCTGGATTTCTCCTGCTAATGTTTAGTTCTTTAACATTATCTGCTTAATTGTTGAATTGAGAATCAACATCACAGCACTCGGGACACTCTCATAAGTGCTCCGTGCACATCTTCAGCAGCAAGCGAAGAGTTCCAATTCTGATCGCAACAGTAGCTGTCTGATTGTGTATCCATCTCATCCTTCCTCTGAGTGTTGAGTGTCGGCCACATCCCCTGGTAACTCCTCGCAGTGCCATTCTCCTCAGACCATAATGATCCATCTGCGCATCTGCACTGTTCACTCGTTCCTAAAGGGCCCTCTCAATATCTAGCTTGTCATACATCAGTTCACCACCAAGTGGTGCAGAACCGGTTAGTCTATATGCCTGCTCATTTCCCAACACACCGGCATGACCTGGAGAAAATATGCTCTGTGAGTCAGTTACAATTACAGCATGTGTGTACAGCTGATTTTCAAGCCAGCAGAAGGGCTGCCGAGACTGCCTCCACCTCCATTCTCAAAATAGACGTTGTGATATCATATGCAGGGCTTTACTGCACTAAGCGATGTCCATTCCCCTTCGCTATGCACTTCGTCTGCCCCTCAACACAGAGCCATCTGTATAGATAATCATTATCTACATATGTTTGTTTAATTGATTTGCTTATAGAAATGTCCTGCTTTGATATTGGTTCTCAACACCAGGCATTCATGGATTAGCGACTACGGTGTTCTGCAATTTGTGGTTTTTTGGCAATTTTCCGTTACCCTGGAAACCGTTCAAAACTTGCTTCGCAAATGTCAGCTGGGGTTTCGGGATGGGTCCTAATCTCTCATGAAATTTTGCGATTGGTGTGATTTTCACCCACTATAAAAAGCTGAAAACGGCGGGAAGGAACCTGATTAACAGCGCATGTCTACGACAGCCGGACGTCCTCTGTTTTTCTGTTACATCAGTTTGATTGAAAATAGCGATAAGTATTCAGGGTTGGCTTTAGGCTTTAACTGTTACTAGACATGGTAATGCTAGTTATAATTGAATTCTCCGTCCAATTTTACATTTGTATATAAAATTTCTTTCTGGACGGTGGCTAGGTAGATGTACAGTTACATTTTTCAGGCAATCGCTGGCTCAGCCAGTGGCTGTGTTTCATTGCCTGCCATCTTGTTCAATGACAGTCCAATGTAAACAAAGCCAAAACGATAAGTGAGCAGTTTGGTGCACAGAGAAAAATTCATGTTTCTGGGTCACAAGTTTTAGCAGCTGCTTTCTACATCTCATCTCCACAAAAACCTACATATCTCAGCTCAGAAATGACACACAAGCCTAAATGAGGTACCGTTGGAAAGAGATTGTTTACAGCTATCTAACTGTGCTGGTTTTATTGGTGTAGAGGGCATTTTAAAAATGTGACTCAAGTACCTACTTTGATAATAGATGATATAAATGACTGTGATGAGCATTATTATTTCACATTTGCAGGAGATGAGGGAAGGAAGGAGCCAGGTAGACATGTTGGCCACCCAGTGGCAGAAGGAGGTGAGAGCAGCACCGTCAGAATCTGAGGATGACAACGAAAATACAGAGATTGAGACTTGCCTTATTACAACTGCCAGCACCGCATCCCTCTTCCAGAACAGCACACTCCCTCCCAACGACAAAGTCTGATGTTTCTTCACTGACTGAGCAAATTTCCCTTCTTTAGATGTCTGGTCTAGGGTAGGCGTTGGCAGTTATAAAGTCTGATGTAAGGTACAAATTATTTTTTTGTCCATTATACAAACACTGTATCCTGTCACTGAACCAAAATTGATGGGATAATGCTTAATTCTTTCACCTAGAGAGCCCGCAAAACTGACGCTTCTGGTTGGGTCCAGTTTCCTCTCAATGTCACTTTTCCGATCTGTCTATAGTGACCTGTTTACAAGATGCATAACTAATGCTTCTAAGTATTTTTTGCACCTATGCAAATATTTAGCAGGTCAGGAATATATTAACTAAAAATAGCTTTGGGGAAAAAAAAGGGGGGGAAGGGGAGGGGTCCTTTTCAGTGAAACAGCCATTTTATAGTCAATGAATTCCAGAGAAATTTGACTAAAAAGCTCAACAAAATGGGAAAGAGGAAAACGTGCACAAAACAACAAAACGTAACGTTTCGGCTGGGCAGCCTTTTTCAAACACAAGTGAAAGACACAAACGAGGAATGGAGAGTATGTAGATCTCTAAGGGGTGACGTGAGCGCTTTAAAAAAATGTGATGCGGAAAAAATGAAATAAAATAAAATAAACGATGGCTAAAAAATATAGTCACAATACTGGGAATAAAAGAAATGCAAGTGGTAATGATACATAAATGATACTGATAAGAAATAGAATAAGGTAATAATATGAAATAAAATAAAAAAATTAACATTTAAAATGTGATAAGATTAGAACTATTTAGATGAAGGTATGTTGGATATTGATACCTCTTGGACTAAGAACGCCAAGGCTGTGGATAAGGCGATTTTCCAAAGCGAGGCGGGTAGTATGATCGCCAGAGCAAGATTTTAATGCTGTGACAGATATGTCATCTTTACCGCTGTGGTCAGGGCTATTAAAATGAAGAGGGATTGGTTACGTTACGTTTTGTTGTTTTGTGCACGTTTTCCTCTTTCCCATTTTGTTGAGCTTTTTAGTCAAATTTCTCTGGAATTCATTGTATTAGCTTGACTGCAGTCACCCCCATAGTTTAACCATTTTATAGTCAAGCTGACATCATATTTTTCCATAAGCTTCAGTGGTGTAGGTCATGGGGTCATTTCATGAGTCATCTGATTGATACGTGTTTTCAAGCCCTGAGGAATTTATTCCATTTAACGCTTCACCCTGTTTATCCTTTCTTATATATTTCTAGAAACAGATTTAAAGTGATGATAAGATACATTTTTACCGAGTTCATTTATAAGCTTTTCAGAATTGTTTATTTTTCTTCTGGAATTCCAACAGGGTCATGATGGCCCATTTATTTAGTTCCTGGGGTAAGAGAGTTAAGACTATTGAAAATCAAAATGTGGCAAGGAAAAAAGCTGAAGACCGTTTCTCAGTATACATTGACCTAGCATATACCAAGCTTTTATACTTCTCTCCTCTTTAACGGTACTTTTTTTTTTCAGTTACACTTGCAGCAAACTAGCAGTTTTATAGAAAATAGACGGACCCCTTCTTCTTGACTTTTTTTTAAAAAGAAATCTCTATGGGTTGCATTTTGTAAATTGGTTGGGGAGGGAGGGGGGAGGGGGGTGTTACAATACAATGTCATTTACAGGTTTTGTGCATTTAATTCATATGCCATTCTTCATTACAGTATTGAATCTGTAAAATATATATGCTTTCCGTTTTTTTTTCACATGAGGGTTTTGTATTCTTATGGCACATTCCTTACAGATATACAATATTTATTATTTATTTGTTTCATTTATTTGTCTTTATTTATTTTGTTTAAATGAATTTTTTAATGTTAGCTCTTTTTCCCTATCATCTGGATCATATATTATTATAGTATTACTTCTGATGAACAACGGCTGTGAACGAATCATGTTTACATATTATTTTGTGATTTGATGAAGTGCTTTCATTGACTAACTCACTTGATACCAGACAGAAGGTGTTGGGAATTTTGATTACACATTTTAACATAAACATCTTGTTTTGGTGGATTTTAGTTTCCATTTTTTGTTTACACATACATAGTGAGAGTACAGAACAATTAAAACAAAAATTATTGTAGTCGAATTTACTTTGAGAACAAATTCTTTGATCACATTAACAGTATTTGTGTAATTAGATATACAGTTTTGTCAGATGTATGTTTAAAAAAAAAAGTAAATTGGTATGATATGCTGCCTCTGGGGATTATAATAAAATGATTTTGATGCATATACATTGTTCAGTACGCTGTACGTAACATGTCAGCTGTGTGTATAAATGAGAGACAAAGGGATGACTGAAGTAGTTTATTCGAATAATGTTCAGAATGAGGAACCCAGTCTCATGTTGCGTTCTGCCTTGTATCTAACTCATGATTACTATAACATTCCAGTTTCATTTGTAAATGTAGCGATTGGTTGATTGTCGATGTACAGATGCATGTTGACGTCACTGACGAAGTAGTTTGTTTATTACATTGTTCCTGTAGTTTTTTTATTTTTATTTTTTAATTTCTCCGAGCTGAAAGTTAAACACTCACCTAGACACCACATTGTGGGTGGGTTAAAAGTTAAACACTCACCCAGACACCACATTGTGGGTGGGTTAAAAGTTAAACACTCACCCAGACACCACATTGGGTGTGAGCTGAAAGTTAAACACTCACCCAGACACCACATTGGGTGAGAGCTGAAAGTTAAACACTCACCCAGACACCACACTGGGTGTGAGCTAAAAGTTAAACACTCACCCAGACACCTCATTGGGGGTGTGCTAAAAGTTAAACACTCACCCAGACACCACATTGTGGGTAAGCTAAAAGTTAAACACTCACCCAGACACCACATTGTGGGTGTGCTTAAAGTTAAACACTCACCCAGACACCTCATTGGGTGTGAGCTAAAGGTTAAACACTCACCCAGACACCTCATTGGGGGTGTGCTAAAAGTTAAACACTCACCCAGACACCACATTGGGGGTGGACTGAAAGCCAAACACTCACCCCGACACCACATTGGGGATGGGCTAAAAGTTAAACACTCACCCAGACACCTCATTGGGGGTGGACTGAAAGCCAAACACTCACCCCGACACCACATTGGGGGTGTGCTAAAAGTTAAACACTCACCCAGACACCACATTGGGGGTGGACTGAAAGCCAAACACTCACCCCGACACCACATTAGGGGTGGGCTAAAAGTTAAACACTCACCCAGACACCACATTGGGGGTGGACTGAAAGCCAAACACTCACCCAGACACCACATTGGGGATGGGCTAAAAGTTAAACACTCACCCTGACACCACATTGGGGATGGGCTAAAAGTTAAACACTCACCTAGACAAGAATTCGGATGTGCAAGGATTTTCTATAATTTCAAAAACCTAGTTCCTCTTGTGGGTTCCAGGGCCCCATTGTAAAGAACAGACCAGCTGCCTCCCCAACAAGCATGTCCTAGGAGTCGATTCATAGGGAACTTCCTTCAAGGTCGGAGTGCATCTGCCGGACTGGTAAGGAACAACCAACTGCACACAAATGAGCCAGTAAATCGGATGTACATGCAAAACTCTTGAATCTCTAAGTCTAAATGGACGAACAGCCAGGACTTTTCACTGAAGCTTACGGCCGGTAAACTATGAAGAAAAGCCCAGTGTTCTTCTTGTGTGTTTACAAAATTGATTCATTCAAACACAGGCAATACTATGTAATTTTATTCACTTTTAAAACTTTGTTCAAGTGGATATAAATTTTATTCATGACATTTCAAGTCCACGGTTTTATAATCATTTACATTTCTGCCCTGTGTGGGTTCTGGGGCCCTTTATAGGGAAAACAAGAATAAACCCATTGCCTACCCAAAAGCATGTCGTAAGAGTCAAATAATTGGGAGCTTTCTTTTCGAAGTCAGAGTGCACAGGCCTGAGAGGCAAGGAACCAACGGCTGCATGCAAATATGTAACACCTGTAAAACAGATGCACACGCAATACTCAGATTCTGGAAAAAGTCCAGAAGTGGATGAACAACCAGAATTTTCCGCTGGAGTTTACAGCCGGTGAATGCAAAGAAGAAGAAGATTTACGTTTCTTTAATTTGCCAGTTTGGCTTGCTAAAACCCTGATGTTAGAATTTCATTCAAAAAATATATAGAAGAATGTTGTTTATCTATTTATGAATATATTTTGTGACATGTTTGGAGCTGCTGTGGCATGTCGATTAGATGCTTGTCAGCCGATCCAAAGGTCTTGAGTTTAAATCCCAACGGTGCCAGACTTTTTTTCCCCCAGAAATGACTATGGCTCCTAGGTCAACCTAGCCTTTATTGGGTACCAGGTGGAGTCATGGGAAGTAAAGGCGGCTTGCATGATGCTGTCCACATCAACCACAAAGTGCTAATTGATGGATAAAATATAAGTCTAGCAGTATATGAGCAATATGCCTGAATGGGTGGGAAAAGGGTCCTTGTTGCTTTACTGTTGGCGTTGGGACACTTGCTGCGGTTTTTTCTTTCTTTTTGTTATCTATATTTTGTTTTTGATTATGTGAATCTTATATTTTAAGTAAACACCTGAGCACATTTTGCAGACCTGCCCACTCTACCTACAACTTCAAAAAGACACCTGGCCTCAAGAGCAAAGTGTGCAGAGCAAGCTATAGGGAACCATGAAGGATCTGCTACTGACATGCAAGTTTATAGGGGCAACCCACCTGATGGTCTGACCCGAGCATACGAAATTGAACGCAAAGAAGAAGAAGATATTTAAAGTAGTTTTTACACACTGTAAGTGTCTGGCATTTTGGGCTTGTCTTACCTGATTTGAAGGTTTTGCATGATGTTTCATCCAGCCTCGGATATTTTTCAACTAGCATATGGGAATTGCTATAGCAGCATATGCTAGTTATTGCTTTTATCCTCAACTTACAAATACGCTTCTACTGTGGACTTGATCAGACATGCTCAAGTTTTGTGTTTACAACTCTT